AATTGGTCTGGATTTTGTGCATAGTGCAAATTCAGTAAGTTTCTTCCCACTAAGCTGCCATATACCCCCAGGATGTCCATAAAATACAATCATTACCTGTTCCAAATTCTGTAACAATTGCCGTAATGTAAAATGGTTTAAGCAATTCTGAATAATAGAGTTGGAAAACTTTTGCATTTACAATTCGAGAAACACAACCATGTTTCAACTGAAAAATAAAAAGAAGGCATAAAAAACGTTAGAAATCCAAGAGACTTTAAAAATATAGAGTTTTAACATGGATATGTGACACCCTGTCTTTACTGCCCATGGCGGTACCTCACAAAATTGTTGAAATAACTAAAGAATAAAAGGAGGAGGAGGAGGAATAGAATATTGACATCAGCATTTCAAACAAGCCAAAAAAGTAATCTATATTTTATACATTTTAAGAAATTCTCCTGGAAACATTGTAGATGGGAAGAGATTAAAGATTGGAAAGTAATGCAGAACAATGTTTTAAGAGTAAGAAATTAAATCATCTTGAGAGGCACTATACACAGGTGGAACAGAAGCAGTTATCAAATACATAACACCGAAACCAACACCACCTATTAAGGTAAATTGTTCACTTAAAATAAGGAAAAACCCATAGATAATCTTTCACCAGTAACATCAATAATCAGATTAATAGATTTAGTTGTATTTCAAAATAAAATGTTTATTAATTCCAAATTTAAAATGTTAAAGGGAATATATTAATTCATTTGATTCTCAAAATTATTGTATGATTTAGGTACTGTTACTATTCCTGTTATATGTGTGAATGATCAGAAACTCAGGTATGTTAAGTAAATTGTCACTGTTAAAAGATATTGGTGCTAACTATGTATTCTGAACCAGAGTATGTGCTCCTCTGGACTATCAGCTGTTATATCACCAACAAAACAAAATCCATTTCATTTTGCCTAATTATACTGTAGTCAAATTAAAACATCATAATAAAGAGTGGCCAGTTTGAGGGAAAAACTTTTTTCAGTAATGTTGACGTGAAAGAATACCACTTCAACTTTTTTAACCTTCATGTTTTATAAAGATAAGTTTCTGCCTGTCTTGGCCAATTATTACTATTTACTTAGAGGATGCTCACCAAATTTGGTGAGTAATGTTAGGACAACCAGACCTAAAATATAAACTATGAGGCATGTATAAATTACACTTTTGGAAGTCCAAGGCAATCTGAGAGATAGAGTTGTTTACCTAAGGTTAAGGAAGTAGATGGAGAAAGCAAACGGTGGCTTCAATTATACACTGCAAACCTGAAGTAATAAATACGGATGCCCTGTGTTGCAATAAGTTGTTTTCATAAGAGTGAATCTAGGATGCAAGGTGAGTAATATCACAGACTCACTTATTTAAAGGATGAATAATTTTCCAGAGAAAGATCAGGGAGGCTACTGAGACAGTATAGAAGACAATAAAGCCAATAAGATATTTAAAAATCTAAAATTCCTGTGAGTTCATAGGTGGATAACAATTGACATGGTCTGTAGAATAAGAGACTAGGGTTAAACATTATATTTTCCTCTCACTCTTTACCTTATTTAGTGGTAACTTCCATTATCAAGAAAATGAAAATAGTGGTAAGTCCCTTCTATAACTGGAACCAAAGAAAGAGATCTAATGAAAAATGAGCAAGAATCTTTTTTTTCTTTGGAATAAAGATCTTGGTCTGTACCTGTGCAATAAATTGCTCACATATGTCATTGTCATCTTTCTTGCAGTTGCTCGAAGGAATAGTTTCTTTGCACACCCGGATTTGGGCCTTCCCTTGCACAGGTTGACCATAGGTGTACCTAGTGGGAGAAGGTGTACTTATTATCATGGATAAACAATAGTACAGCAATATTTTATGGTCTTTTTCAGAAATTACATGTGAAATCTATACATCATGAGTACCCCAATCTAAAAAATTCAATTAGGAATCTTCACTGATTGGTGTGATTTTTATCCCCCTAAAGAATTTAGGTTAAAAAAAAAAA